TCAGATTCAAGGACAAGTCATATTATTTTTAGAAAAAAAAAAATTTGTAAAGCAGGAGTATGAACCTGGACCCAAGATGAACTTCTTGAGGTTCACAAAATCCCTAAAACTGGATGCAAAATCCTGGGAGCATGTGCATTTTTCTAGGAGGAGGGGTCACTGTTTCTATCATATTTTTAGTAGTGTGTATAATCAGAAAGATTTAATAACTATGTTTAAAGCACCACTTCTGTTTTATTGTTCCTTATCAAGACTTATTTGTAGGATTTTTGGATTCTCCAAAGTCATACAATAACATCTTAAAAGGACCAAAATTTCAACTCTTTATATCAATTTCAAATGTGAGGGATGCCAATTCTGGATAATGTTAACCGCAGACATAAAAAAAAAAAGAAAAAAAAAATAGAGGCTGGCTGGTTAACTCAGTTGGTTACAGTGTGGTGCTGATAACACCAAGTTCCAGGGTTCAATTCCTGCACTGACCAGCCACCCTCCCCCTCAAAAAAAGAATAATAATTTGCCTCCCTCTTCTGAATTATCAACCTTACTAATTCAGTGCATAGGGATATTTTTAAGGGTCAGTATTTCAAAACCATTCCATTTCACTATCTACAATGTAAAACTGTAGTTTCCTTTAAAGGTTTCCTCTTACCCTATATTCCTTAGTGAAAAATGTGGAAATGATCTGAGGCACTAAGATTATATGTGGCATTAATGCAAAGCAAAAATGCTGCCTAAAGCACATTTTATATAACTGCAAATAAAAATGCTAAAAAAAACACCTGCAGAACCTTTATTTTAACCTACTGCACTTAAAGCAGGAGTCCTCATCATAATCCTGAGCTTCCAGTGGAGAACTTCACTATCCTTCCTTCCAATGGAATGGCCTCCTGAGTGACAGGCTTGCACATGATATAACCTTGGCAGGAAAGGGATGGGCAAGAGGGAAAACTATCAGATGACTGGCTTGAAGTTCAAATTCTTTATAGATGTCCTGAAACTGTGGTCAGCTTTCCACTGTAAGCAACACATAAGGTTTACTTTCTTTCCTAACTTCAGTGTTGCCAGAATACACATGTACTTTTACTTTCTTAGGAGAAAATGTGTCATTTGATTTCCTTCCAGTTTATGTACTCGTGCCAACAACTAAAATGCTTAAAGAACCAAAATGAATTACTACCCAGAAACGGTGGTCAAAGTTCCAAAAATTGATCAATAAAATTGCTCATCTAGTCACAAATTAATCTTCAGCCAGTAAAGTTACACATTTTCGAGGTTATGAGCACACCTGCACTGTTAAGCATTTATTTCACTTGTTTAAGCAATCTTCAGAAGTACATAAATATTTATAAAAGAGGGCCTACTATTTTTACTCAACTATAGTTTTCTTTCTGCAGCAAAAAAGCATCAGCATCACTCATAAGCATCCTGAAGGCAGGGTTTATGCCCTCTACAGTTTTGTATTGTATGAACACCGGCACAATGCCCAACATATTGTGGCTGTTCTGGAAACATTCACCAAGTTGTACTTAATTAATTCAGATCATCCTGATTCTGAATTTACACTGGGGCCAATTTTCGATTTTCATTTGTATCATTCATAAAAAATTTGCAAAGCAAATTAATAGACCAAGTAAAAAGGCAAATTAAGTTACTAAGTAGAATATTTTTCATGAACTTCAGAAGCAATACCTATACCCTATTAATGCCTTCATTAATAAGCCACAGCATCACCCACAAACGTGGCCAGCTTAGATTTGGTTCACTGTGTGTATCTGCAAAGAGCATTACTTCTCTTCTTTACTCTTGTCTTCCTGAAATTAGTCCAAATTGGTGATGTTTGACTATATTTTATGATCTCTATCTAGTAACCACTTATAGCCTTCTCTAACTTTCCATTTTCTTTTGTTTGTATCATCAGCCTGTGAAACTGGAGAGCGCTGCCAAACATAAAGCAGGGAAGTGTGAGATATGCTTAAAATATGAGTCACAGTATATTTGGGGATTTGGGTTTCTTTCTTTTTTTTTTTCTTAAGCTATCAGCAGATCAAATCCTCTTCTCTGTCAAACCCTCCTCTATGCAGAAGATCTGAAATTTGCTAAAATAGGTCTCTCAATGTAGTTACCAAGGGTAAGAAGATCAGAGATGAACACTGCTAAGATTTGCTGTAGGATTTCCCTTTCATTTCAGAGCTATTCCAGCTGAGATGCCCCAGCAAGGATACGGCATGGCAAGATACACTGAAATGTGAAGGTTATTCCTTCTGTGAATCACCAAGTTTATACACATATTTTTATAACAAGGTAATATACCACATGGCCTAGGCGAGTAATTTCTCCTCTCCGTTTGTGGAAAGCCAGCCAACCTAATAAAGCTTACTGAATTTGCACGACCCTACCAGGCAACTAAGAAGACATTCAACAATCACACACACACACACACACACACACACACACACACAGAGTCAACCAACACCCCCCCACACACACACACACACGTCAACCAACCCTCCCCACCCCTTTTCCCTCCAGCCAACTTAAAGCTGGTCTAAATTTTCTGCTTATCAACTCCCCCACTTGGGGGATAGAAAGGGACTCAAGACATCTTCTTTAGCAAAACCAGCATTCAAGATGACCCCCACTTCCCCCACTTTTTACAAAGACTGAAGCTCTTAGCAGAATGTGTTAGGTTGGTTTTGACACTGTCCTTGCCAAGAAAAATAAAGTCTCCCATCATACTCTTCTGCATGGTGGCTGAAAACCTTACTACAGGCAAGAAGAAAAAGAGTGCTCAAAAGGAAATCCCCTAAAACACTCCTTCTTATATTTAGCCCTAAAGAACTTTGTTCAGTCTTGGAAAAGAAGTTACCTAAAAATGCCATATGCTTTAAAAATGCAAGTAGCCACAAATGGTATTCAATACTGAAGAGCAGTGCGATCAGACAGATTGTGTATGTGTGTATTTTTTTTTATTACCTCTAACCAAAGCTCTACTACGTGTAAGATTACCCCCCCCAATAACATATTTTCATCTTTCCAATGCACTTGAGGTCTGATAAATTCAAGAGGACTCGCAGTATTTTTAAGGCTGTGAGAGCTCCAAGAGAGAGGCAAAAAGAATGGACAGTCATTTGAATCACTGAGTGACAGGCTGGGCTAGCTCCCTGTATACATTAATAAATTAGAATTTTAATTGTGTCTCTGTCTGCAGGAGATGCCCTGGTACTTTAATATGTACCAACAATTGGCTATGTTATGGAATCTGCAATGTGGCCTCCGCTGCTGACCTCTGAAACACAATTCCCAGTCTGACTACGGAAACTGTTCAGTTTGATCCTTTCAACTTATTTGAATCCTGACAAATAAGCTCACAGCTGAAAGGTCAACACAGTCATATTTCATCCTCCAGAGCTGTTCTTAAGACATCTGCACAACAAAGCACTTCTTATAGCACCTGACACCAGTCCTCAATGGCACTGTGCCTCATTAAAAATGTCCCCTGCATGTGCACACATTAAAAGGCATACAGATTGGTGATGGTTTACCAAATAACTGTTTTCAGAAGTGTTAGTAAACAGTGCACATTGTCATTCAATTGTTCCAGTAAAGTGTCACTATAGTGCTGAACTTTTCCTGGAGAGTGACAGTTTCCCAAGTAGATGTAGAAGAACTAGAACTTGGTCCCCAAGTTTGATCTTTGTAGGATAATTTTGGAACTGGTAGTGTTCACCCTGACCTGGGAAAAGTCAACGCAAACTAGAATTCAGGTTGAACTTACGATCAAATTAATTGATACGGCTTACAGATTCTGTACCAAAATTTTCATTATAAGAAATTCGTCATTATCCTCCCATGCTGGGAATGCCCACCCCCAGCTATGAAACTAGTTTGAGCCACCTACTACCTCCAAGTACTGCCCTATCTTTGATGGGAGCACAAATATACAAAGTCAAGGTTCTTTGAAGTTTCCATTATAATTTTCTACTCCAAGTCAAAAATCCAAATTAGGGGCCAGCCCCATGGCTCACTCGGGAGAGTGCGGTGCTGGTAGCACTGAGGCCGTGGGTTCGGATCCTATATAGGGATGGCCGGTGCGCTTACTGGCTGAGCGTGGTGCTGACCACACCATGCCAAGGGTTGTGATCCCCTTACCGGTTAGAAAAAAAAAATAATAATAATCCAAATTAGATTTTTATGAACTCACTCCTTCTTCTACTCCAGTAACTCCTTGCCTTCAATATGCCCAAAAAGAGAAGTTGCAAAAACGACCTTTTTTGGCATCTTCACATTAAAATTGCTCACCATTTCTTATTAATGATTCAGAAACATTCTGAAAACATCCACTGAAGAACAGGGTATATATTATATGTATTACAAGGTATAATATTAAAAATGCCACATCTTCCTCAGGCCCAGTAACAGTTACTGATGCTACTGACATTTGGGGCTAATTCTCTGTTATGGGCGACAGTCCTGTGCATTGTAGGATGTTTGGTAGCATCCCTGGCCTGTACCTACTATATGTCAGTATACCTCTGCTCCCCTGGTGACAACCAACAATGTCTCCAGACACATCCCACAGTCCCTTGGGGGGGCAAAATCACCCTGCTGAGAACTACTGTGCTAAAGTAAAGTGTGTGGCATGTGTCCCATTTCTAGACCCATCATGAGAGAATGTGGTGACAATTCTCAGTTCTATGGAATTTTTCTCACTGGTAACCTACATTGCCTACTAAGCAGCCCAATACCTGCAACTCCTCTTTCTCCTAGTATATTGCCTAATTAGTAGATTTTCTTACTCCCAGCAAGACAAATTTTGGTTAAATAGACATTTTCCCCAAAATGTCATACTCTGCTGGTAAACTAAAAACGCACCTTCTTCAGAAGATTTTCTTACATGATTTGCAATTCTTGACACAATCCACTTCTGATCTGCTTATCAACTATCCCAAAGGGTACAATGGCAATTAAAAAAAGAAAAAAAAAAAAAGAATCATTACCTGGAGAGCTGGTTGTTTGTCATTCCTCTTGGGAGATTTTAATCCACTAACTTGCTGCTGCTGTTGCTGCTGAAGAAGGAGCTGTCTTGCCACCTGAAGTGCCTGGAAGGAAAAACAAGAAAACCATTTGCAATGGTTCAGGGTCTCCTTCACAGACAGGATTCCAGGAAGTGCACTTCAGGGCTGGGTCCTGACTTTTCCATTTCCAAGCAAATAAAACAGCAAACAGAACTTCCCACCAGCCTAAGTTGGAAAACTTTCCAGAAGTTGTTTACATTTCCTTTGATTTGGCCAGTTTCATCTACGGATCTTCAAGCATAACAATCCATCTAAGCAGACACTTTAGTCCTACCAAAAACCTGACATAAAATGTGGGAGTATGAGTGATTGGCACTTTGAGGAAGGACAGTAGAGAGAGGTTAGGAGGGATGTGAGCAAAGACAGAAACTTAGAAGACAAAAAATGGGCCCTTTTCAGAGGCAACTTCACTCTAGCCCAATTCTTCTTGGGGAAACTTGGCAACTCCAGGTTCCAGTGTGAGAAACTCGTTAGCCTCCTAACACTTTCAACTCATCTGAGTCCGAATGAAGAGGAAGGGCTGAAAGGTGGTCTACGGGAAAAGCATGGTTATTTGGGAAAAACAGATGAGACATACCTAGGAGGACCTCAATGGACTAAATAAGAGAGAAAGAAAAAAAAAAAAGCAAATCTGACCTCTGGTCAACTTAAAGGTCACATTATGTGTCTGTGAACAAAACTGGTTATGTCTAATACAAACAACCCTTTCAAGCTTATAACACTGGGATGGTTTTTATTTAAAGGTAGAAACTGGGAAATGAATTGAGGATAAAAGTAAAAGGAAAACAGGAGGTTTCTCCAAAATGTTAAACATATGACAACCAATCTTTTTTAAAAGTTCAAGTAGTTGGGGCAGTGGGGTCCAAGAGCTTCAGCCACAGCCCCCCTGACATCTGTATCCAGCTTAGCCAAGACTGAGCCACCAGTGGAAGCCCCCTGGTGGCCCCTGCCAGAATGATGGGGGTGCCATGGGCCTTGACCATGACCCCCTGCCTTCCTCCTCCTCCCATCCTGTGTCCTCCCCTCTTTCCCTCTCCTCTTCCCCCCAACTGCTCCACAACGATATCATAGAATGAAAAAAAATAATAAATAAATAAATTTTAAAAAGAGAGAGATTTGAAGGGTTGATTATATACTATACCAAAAACTTTGTATAAGCAGTGAGATATTCCTAGCTATAGGGTGACCCAGTTGCACAGATAAAGAATGAGGCCCACAAATTTTAATTCTATTTTTTAAATTAATTTTGTTAATTCAGGGAAAAAAAGATTAAGCACACTGTGGGTTACAATCTGTGGGGGAAAAGGGATGGGGAGTAACTGCTTAATGGGTACAGGGTTTCCTTTTGGAGTGACAAGAATGTTTTGGAACTAAATAGAGGTTGTGGTTACACAACGTTTTGAATGTACTCAATGCCTCTGAATTGTTCTTAAAATTATTAATTTTATGTTACATGAATTTCACCTCAATTAAAAAGAAGTGGTGTTTAAAAGAAAAGTTCGAGTAAAAAAGAAAAAAAAAGTGTCATCAGTAAACCCTCATGAGGACATTCACTGTTCATGAGGACATTCACTATTCATTAAGAACAGAATTCAGAATAGGAGTAATGGCTAGCCACAGCTTTCCAAAGAGAGCTATAGGGTCAGCAACAGAAAACTGAAGTTTGCAGATACTGTGCTAGAAAATCACATGAAAAGTTTGGTTTCTTGAGTCAATTCAGCTGAGAACCAAGAATGTGCACATGAAAGAGATATCAAGAATGCTCATTAAATACACAAAATGAGATTTCTTGGGGATTATATTAATAACAATTTTTACATGGTAACTATTTGTGCCCCAAAGAAGAGGCACACATAGATGTGGTCAATATATCAAAAGGACGAGATACTGTAGTCTTAGAATGTAAGCATAATAAACTTACGACGGTAGCGTGTTCCTCAAAGAAGAACAGACACTTCACTTATATAATGAAATAATGTATATATGTGCAAGAAATGTTACAGTGACACAGGTGGAGTGTTGGCAAAGTAAGATGGCCTGGGGGTTCCTGCACATTGAACTCAGGAAAAAGGGAAAACAAAGTGGTCAAGAGGATGATTGTTCAGGAGCAGACGCCTAAAAATGTTGAATCTGCACGAGGAGTACTTCTCCTCAAAGGACAAGCTCACTAAACTGGGTTCATAACTGTAATGCTGTTAACAAGAATATTTTTAAGACACTTTGTAAGGTTGAGTCACACTATTGTTTTTAAGAGGTGTAAAGGAAGGCAAAGAAACAGAAGCACAGATAAATAGGTGACAAAGAAAAGATCTCGACAAAGTGGAACCCTCCAGTCCCACCTCCCTACTGCATCCATCCGTCTTGTCCCAGGGACACCTTCTGCCTACAGAACTCACCACCACCAGCCCTTTGGAGGTAACGCACAGGCTATTTCGTCTGTGGAGGGAGAGACATATTTGTGAAAGCCTGCCTGCAAGAGCCTCGAGAAAAGAGGCTGTCTGAGAGGGGCATCTGGAAGCCAAGACGCCTGGGAGAGTTGCCTGAGCCTCCAGCCTGCTGTCTCAGCTCAGGATTCACCATCGCTGGACTCCGGGTTTCCTTGTCTCCTTGGAGACGCTCAGTACATGCGTAGGTGGAAAAGTGGGCAGAGTGAAGATTTCATTTATATCATATAAGAAAAATAGTCCCCTTTGCAAGGTGCTTGCAGGAGCAAGAGCCTCTCCTCTTACTATATATGTTCCCTTGGCTTCTATTTGCCATGAAGGTTTTATGGCTTTTTAATGTAGGAAAGGGAACTGTGACATATTTTTAATGCTACCATCATAGTTCCCAGAGTAATAGACGGATCAGCAAAGAAGGATCTGCATGCTAGTGGAGAGGCAGACAGACGGACTGAAGATGACAGTGAAAAGATAGTGCAGAGAAAAATATGGTGGTGAAGATTAAAAACGTTACATACATTTAATACTAAAATAGAGAAGGCACAGGAAAACAAAGTAACAATCATGCCTCATAATTTACCATGTTTCACCAAATATTGGGAGAACAGGCACTCAATTTTTAAATAACCAACTCTCAGAAAAGCTATGCAGTCAACTCATTTCAGCAAAAGGGAAGATATTAAGTGTCTTTAAGACAAACATTCACAACACAACTACTTACATGAGCATGCCCTCATACATGTACATAAGCAAAAGAAAGTATAGAACACAAACCTAAGTTTTCAACAAAATGTTTACGGAGCTGGCTCTACACATGATCATGCATTTCAAAATTAGCTGCTGGAATCCTCGGACTAATGTGCTGGTTTAAAGAAAAACAAAAAAGTCATTTATGTGTGTAACATCTTCCCTCAGATCCAGCACGGGGTATACGAACTTACATAATCACATAATAAACTCCAGCTCCTTCACGTCATTTCATACAGAGCCCCACCAAAGAAGATAATCAAAGATAGACGCACAGGGGAGAAAAGGTTTAGGAACTTATATGAAGCCAAGGGAAATTTTAGTTAACCTGCTGAACAGAGAATGACACAAGATGAAAATGTGCAAATTGGCTTCCAAATTTCAGCCCCCAAATGAACACAAACAGGTAAAATAACTTGAAATATTTGGGATGGAGAGACAATATTTATGCAAAGAACAATTCATTTTGATAGGAATTGTTATGAATTATCTTATTATAAATATAATAAATTCATATCGTTCAAAATCATCTTATGATCACCATCACTGTTAAGGTCTGTGCATGCATTATATGTATTAAAATCTGTCTTGACAGATTATTTAGTTTGCTTCTTTCGTTTAACATTTCATGTGTATATTTTTGTGTAACAATACTTCCTATTCTTATCATTTTCTTTTTAATAGCTCTAGCGGTTTTCTTTTGTTGGGCCATTTGGGTTGTTTAGTTTTTCTTCATACATAGTGTAGCCATGAACATCTTTATGTTATTTTCTTGACTTTTCTTATTCTTATTTCCTTGGAGTAAAATATTAAACGGCCCCCCCAATAATAACTAAATGAATATAAAAATAATCTTAGGTCTCTGCAAGAGTTTTAAAACCTAATTAATGAGAACTTATAATGTGCTTTGAAATCAACCATTAAAGAGTGTTTTCTTTTCTAATTTTCCATGATATATAAATCACTGCAATCTAAATTTTAAAATGTCACACACAAAAAGGGGAAATAAAACTTTAGTGTGTACGAAGATATACCTGGGCATTATAATATTAATCTCTGGTAACTACCACTTGGAGAAAGTAAAAAAATGCTTATTATCACGTTCATTATTGATCAGTGAAAAATCTGAAAAGAATGATGAAATCCCCTCTGGAAATTGTACCAGAGACCTATGTTCACTGTGTTTCTCATACATGATTGCTTGACAGCCATTTTTACCAGTTACATGCATCGAAACCAGATTAATGTCCTTCCTTTCAGACTCCACTGCCTAAACCTCAGAGATTATCTTTATTCCAATACAATTGAGGAGTGACACGATGGACTTTTCTTATTTCCATAACAGTACTTCAACCACAAATGGAGAAAAGTCCCTTAGGATATGCCAGTTGAAGATAAAATTAGAACCTTTGGCTACAGAATAAAAAGGTGTGTAGATATGCATTTGTGTGGGTGTGAGAGAGGGAGAGAAAGGAGAGAAGGAGAGAGGGGCAGCAGAGAGGGAGAGAGAGGGAGTGCCACACCAAGAGACAGAGAGCACGCGAATAAATGAAAGAGGCAAGGATCAACTCTGACTCAAGTTCCAGACCAACTGCTAATGTAAGTAACTTAAAAGGTCCAATTCCATCTCCAGAGACCTTTTACTCTTGGTGGCAGTTCCTGGGCTGGGTTGAGTCAACACTTCCTTTATAACTGATGTGACAATTGCCTGGCACTATAGAATGAGGAGCTGTATTGAGTGTGAGGCTCTGATTACCGTAAAGATGAAGTTCAAGGATGTCACAGAGCGAAGGCAACTGATAAAACCAGGCTCTTGGAGCCTAGTTGCACACAATC